GTATATATTTATTATATGTAAATGTACACATTAACTAGTAAGTGTATATATTTACTAAAATTAACACTTTGTGACTGTGACGTGTGTGTGTGTGTGTGTGTATATATATATATATACACACACACACACACACACACACATAATTTAATCGATATATAGCAAAACTTATTAAGTAAAATTTATTTGTTTGTTAAAGATTAACGATGATTATTATAACCGATCTCTCCAGCTGCAATGTTGCAGCAGAAAATAGAATGCTTGTTATGAAAATCACAGTTCATTAATTTGCTTCAACGCTGCGATAAAATTTCAACATTGCACTATTCGCATGCTGGTTCATATTTATATATGTATAAAACAGAAGTTGGAAGTTTTGAACAAAACTTTCAGTATGAAGTCAATGCTGCGATCAGTAGAGATAACTAATCAGTAAGCGCTCAGTGTGATTTCTTAATATTATTAATTCCTACACTTAGATCCAATGAAGAACTAAAGAAAAGAATAAATCATATTCAAAAATCACTGAACGCTCATTGAACAGTTTTTTTGCTGAACGTAATTATTGGCATCGGTATTCCCGATGGGAGATTTCGCTTCGTAAAGAGTAGATCATAAATTCAAATGTATCCGTGCATCAAGATTAGATGCAAAACAAAAGCGTATTTCATCAGTAGAAATATACTTATGAGTAAATAGCAAAAATAGCTATATAATCGTTTACAGTCTTTGCAAACGGTGCTAGTTTTCTTTGCAAAAATGCTAGTTAATGAAGATTTAAAATTTTTAACTAAAATCAGTGTTAATATTGACACTCATGCAGTATTGAAGTGTCATTTTTCAAAGTGTCTAAATTCTAAATATTATGCACATCATTGATTCCTCCACATGTTATAAATATCCAAAATAAATCTTTATTAATGTATATATATTTTCATAAAAACAAGGTACTGAATATTATCCCGATTTTGCAGACATTAGAACTCTGTTTGATATTGAAGAGCATGCTCAATTGGGAATAATATCAGAGTTTCAACTCTCCTAATTTAATTTTATGGTGTTGTACACCATAAGAAATAAGTGCATTTCGTCATGCATGGCACAGTATTCCGTTCATTTTAATAAGGTTTGCGCATAATATATTTCAAAATTGTACCGCCCAACAAGAAAAAAGAAAACTTTCATAGAAAAGAAAGTCAAATGTTTTAAGAAAAAAACTTAATGCTGTAATACATGTTATAGAAGAAAATAATTAACGAAAGAGATACATTACCACTGGCATGCCGCTTCCACCTGTAAAAAAATAATAAAAACATATGATTAAAATACAGAACGTAAATTATGACAATACTGAAAAAATGAGAAATGATAAAAATTGTTGTTCTATAGTTCAATGCTCGACAAGTTCAGAACTTGTGCATAGAACTATATATTTAATAAAGTTTAAAAGCTTTTAGTGCATATGGCTATAATATAATATATATAATACAGATTGCAGTTATATTGTGCTCTTTCTAATTCTATACATTTTTTAATATCTTTTTAATATATTTTTTTATATTTTTTATATAAAAAAATAAAAACTTATTACTTACCATCAGGTTGACCATATCCATCACGATCATTGCTACTGACAGAATCATAACTTTTGCCGCCACCACCACCACCACTGCGAATTGCTTGTTCCTAGAATATGAAAAGATACAAATATAAATACACGATAATTGAGATATCGAATCTTTCAAAAAAAATATAATAATAAATATCTCAAAGTTAAACAATTTTATTACTCAACGGACCTGCATGAACAAATTGTTTTCCTGTTGACGCCTATGCAATTCTTCTTCCTGTCTTCGGATACGTATCGCCATTTCTTCTTGTTGACGTCGTCTTAATTCTTCTTCGCGAGTCCTTTGCTCTTCTGCTTGTCGCTCTTTCATTTCCCATTCTCTCTTCTGTCTTTCGCGATCCGCCTCGCGCATGCGCAGTTCTATAATATAATAAGATATAATAATTACTTCAACTTCATGCTTTCACTTTTTAAATATTTCTTTTTATGTTAAACTTGTGTTTCACATATCAGCACACAGCGATTAATGGAATTAATCAACTATGTTTCCTAAATAAAACTATATTTTTTCTACCCCTACAATTCTTATTAGGCACTTGTAGATTAGAATACATCAAACAAGCGTGGCGTCGGGGATGTTACAAAATTTGTTGAAAACGACATATTCAATTTTTAAATATTTAACGATTATGTAATCGATATTACGACCCTTTTATTTTTATCTTTATTTTTATGTTTTAAACTGAAGATGAAGGTTGAAATGTTTGTATATTATATCGTTTATATCAATGTTTATATCGATTAGATATTAAAGATAGATTAAGTATTAACAACATTTAGTTTTGCTTCGTAGATTTCTCCGTTGGCAATTTTAAAAAATTCTTAAGTCTAAATAATTATTTTTATTTTTATAATAATTTATATAAAGGGAAGAGATACTTTATATATTAATATTAGAATACACACGTTCTCTCAGAAGTTCTGTCTCATGTTCATATCGAGCGAATTCCATTTGGGCTTCCAATTTCTCTTCTTCCATTGCCATTTCTCGTTTGAGTGCTTCTTCTTTCTGCTTGTATAATTCATGCAATTGCTTCCATCTTGTACCGTATTCATGTTCGAAACTACCTAATTGTGCAAAGCGTGGCCCGATCTCACGCGCTTTGAAAAACTCTGGATTTTTGCGTGGTAAACTCTTGTCAGGATAACCGTCCACATCATCTTGTTGTTCAAATGGCTCAACAACTACTGGTCGAAGGGAACTGAAATAGAAACTTTTTACAACTTGTATATGCTTTCATTTTTTATATATTTCTTTTTATGATAAATTTGTGTTTCACGTGTCAGCACACAGCGATTAATGAAACTAATCAACTATGTTTCCTAAGTGAAACTATATTTTTTCTACCCCTACAATTCTTATTATTAGGCACTTGTAGATTAGAACATATCAAACAAGCGTGGCGTCGGGGATTTGTTAAAAAATTTGTTGAAAATTGTGATAACTTACGCTGTAATGAAATAACAACCCTCTGTGCACTTTCTCAGAGCTAACTGAGCAGATGGTTTCCGGCAAAACTCAACTATTCCTTCGCCAGTGGTTTTACCTCTGTCGTCAACTTTAACTATTGCACGCTCGATTTCGCCAAAGACACTAAAGGCTCTTTCAAGGAGTTCATTAGATGTCCAAGGCGTTAGATTCTTTACTTTGATTGTCGATGAATGAGGAGCAAAGCGTACTTTCAACGCACGACCTTTGCGCATTGAGCCATCTAGTTCGCGCTTAGCCGTATCAGCATTTGCTTTATAATCCTGAAATAGAAAATAAAAACAATCATTTCCTAATTTGAAGTTGCAAGTTAGAAAATAGCTTAGCAATAGCAATATATAATCATTTCAAAATTATGCAGCTAGAAATTTTTATCATTTCATATCAAACGGTAATTAATATAATCATCTTAGTGTCATAAAGAAATGTGGATATAACAAGATTGTTTGATTATTAAATAACTGTGGTTCATATAATTACCAATCTGAGAAAAGCAAAACTTTTTTCTTTATTCACAAACAACTCGGATATTTCTCCATATTTTTGGAACATGGTCTGTATTTCTTCCTCGGTCACATCGTTTGTCAAATTTCCAACGTACAAACGATTCCGGCCACTAAACTTTTTTTCTGTAGTATCCTGTGGTGGAAGCTCATGAGTGGGTCCACTAACAGCCATGACACGTTCCATCAATCGATCCTAAAAATGATATAAAGTTCAGTATTATTTCAATAGCTACTATGAAAAAGACAAGGAATATAAAATGTAAACTTACATCTTGTGATCTATTGGCCATGTTTCTGTCACCACCGCCACGACCTCCTCCTCTTCCACTTCCTCGCATTGCACCACCGCGACCCATACCCATACCCATGCCGCCACCCATTCCGCCACCCATTCCGCCACCCATGCCACCACCCATCCCGCCACCCATCCCGCCACCCATCCCGCCACCCATCCCGCCACCCATCCCGCCACCCATCCCGCCACCCATCCCACCACCCATTCCACCACCCATGCTTTCAGAATTATCCAGGCCTCCATCCATGGAATCACTCATTTTCATCTGTAAAAAGATCATAAATTGTTTCATATACAAGTTGTTAAGGATGTATTATACATATTTTTTAACAAAATAAAAAAATTATAGATATTTCTATATTATCTTAGAAAGTAATACAAAAAATTCGGCAGCAATGTAGAATCTGGATAAAAATTATTTCAATAACTAATCATATTTTAAAAAATGAAAATAATATAAGAATATTTCCATTTAAACTATAACATCGTATCGTTAAATAATAATATTAACCTTATTGAACTGTTCCATATGTACAATATATATTTAATACTCATTTTTATAAAAGGTCCCCGCACAAAATTATAGAAATTTGTCCCTCGATAAAATTATCTAAAACTTTAGTATGTTATATAGTTCTTGACTCTTGATCAAAAGTGCCCACAGGGCACAAAGCTTGAAAATGATCTTTTTTTTTGTTATAGCCGTTTAAAGTTTTATTTTATTAATTAAAATCAAATTTTTGTAATAAATGAATAGATCTTAGATATCAATATGCTATCCTCTCACCATCTTCACCCTCACTCCCTCAATCTCCTTACTTCATCCCCATCACCCTCCTCCACCCTCATACATCCGCGCGCGCAATTTTATACGAAAAAAGTGCATAAAAATCGAAATAAATCTTTTTTATTACACTTATGTATGCGCGCGTGCCTGCGTGTGGCGCGTGTATGTATATGTATCAATAGTATGTTTATGATTTTAGTTTTTTAAATTTCAGAATTATCGAGAATAAATGCCGTGGACATGATAGATGTTTCATTCATTTGGAGTTGATTTTCGTGAGTTTCTTTACTTCTTACGTTTGGGATGCCCAAAAAAAAAGAGAAGAAAAATATGCGCGCAGGCATATATTGTGGGATTGGGAGGAGGGGAGTGGTGGGGGGAATGAGGATGGAAAGAATGGATGGCATATTGTTATCTAAAATCTCTTTATTCATTACAAAAACTTGATTTCGAAGCATTAATAAAATAAAACTTTAAACGACTATAATAAAAAAAATCAGTCATTTTCAAGCTTTGTGCCTATGAATACTTTTGATCAGTGAGTCAAGAACTATAATAAAGTTTCAGCCAATTTCGAGGGCCGAAAATCCTATGATTTCGTGCGGGGTTTTTTTCAATTTAATCCTTAATAGTTAAGACATCTCAGTTTTGAATACTACATGGTCATTTCTGTTCTAGATTAATTTTCATCACTTTTAAAAGTATATAAAAATTATTAAACGATTTTTACGTATATTTTGACATCTTTACAAAGTATTTGTACAATTGTACATTCATAACAAATTGTAGATAAATTGTTATAACTAAATATACTTAACAAGATGAGAAAAAATACATTGTTCCATACAAAAATGTGAAACTCTAAAATAAAAATGTTTAAAAAAAAAAATATGGTCCAATATCTTAAAATTGACATTTTAAATTACAAAAAAAAGTTCAAGTGTGAGCTGTCCAAAAAATTGAGTAATGTAAAAATGTTTTTTTAATATACATGAATGGCTACAAATTGAAAATATATTGCATTTACATTTTAAACAGTACATATTATTATAACTATTATATTAAAAAAACTCATAACTTATTAGGAAAATATTCTTTATAACATTAAAGACAACATAATATATAATATTATCGACATTTAGCACAAGAAATCAAATCAAAAATCGTGTTTACTAAAGACTAATATGTTCTAGAGTTAAAATCTTTTTTTAATAATTCACGAAATATTTCCGCAAATACAATCGAAAATTAACTGAAAATCAAGAAAAAAAATTATTTAATTATAAAAATGTACACTCTGTACATATATTGAGTATATATATATATATACTTTCTAAATCTCGTGGAGTGAAATCTTACTCGAAGAGACTGAAAATTTAGCCTATTTTGAAAAAAGAGTGAAAATATGGTCACTCTT